ATAGAACTACCTATCCCTCTCAATAGAACTACCTATCTCTCCCAATAGAACTACCTATCTCTCCCAAAAGAACTACCTATCCCTCCCAATAGAACTACCTATCTCTCCCAATAGAACTACCTATCCCTCCCAATAGAACTACCTATTCCTCCCAATAGAACTACCTATTCCTCCCCAAAGGATTCCTTGTGCCTACAGAAAGAATAATTGGGACAGGAACTCAAACAAAAAGCATAGGCTGGGAAGGAAACTACTAATTCTTCTGGTAGGGTAAGGAAGCCCTTAAAAGGGTTGGCAGAGACTACTTTCAGGTTCTCTTGTWGTGAAGTCATAATAAACTTTGCCACAGGTAATCCACACCAGTGCTACGTATCAAGAGAAGCTATTAACAAATTATTGGATGCAAGAAAGCTTAAATTACCTTCCCGCCGTTAGAATTCTGTGATGTTTTGTTTTCAATCTTCATTTCTACCACAGCAACTGGAACGTTGATCTGCTCGACATGACGGGCCTGTGTCTTCACGTCTACTCGCCATCTTACAYCACTCAGTCTATTTCCCCATAGCGCTTTATTTACCAAACTCTCATGAATCTTATTCTTCTGAGATCTCCAGAACTTCATGAAAGCAGCTGCTTGTTCCAGCGTAAGKGCACCTTCACGTTTCTTTGTCTGGGAGGTCAAGAACGCTTCAAGCTGGTTGAAGTCCATATCAGAAGCAACAATATTGCGCATAATTCCCTCACACCGTTTGAGAGTGCCTTCAAACTCTTCTTCTGAAAGTTCAGAGAACAATTCATTGTRCAGAAACTCGTCCGTTATTTCAGATTCACCGAAGTATTGTCGTCTAGCAAGTCCATTTAGTAAACCAACAATGTTCTTGTCTGCAGAGACGGTCGCCATTTCGAAGAGGAAACACAGGAAACCCAARTCAACGGGCATTCAGTTGTAAGGATCTAAAAACTAGAAAAWAGTGGATCTTTGCTAAATAGATAAATCATAAAGTTTTAGACCTATCAATCTTTATGTTCAAATTTATTTTTTCTGTTTACAGCATATATTTGATTTAATATAAGGTCTCCCTTTCGCGGGTTACCTGTGGAARCTCTCCAGCGATCCAAACGAGTCAGTAATCTTCACCCATCAAACAAAATGGCGTCCGTTTTGCGAAGGTTTAGACATTTTAACACCATAATATGTCGTTCCCGTCGATATTCTGTATCCACAAGGACAGATGATTTCTATGATATTGTTATTGTGGGAGGAGGAATGGTTGGTGGTAGTTTGGCGTGTGCACTGGGTGAGAAACTGTATCATTACTCATAAGCTTAAATTATTTTTAGATTGGATAACCTCATTATTGTGCTGCATAG